TCCTCTCGTTGGTCCTCCGAAATCCCGGTAGATCTGATGTATTATACATCGCCTGTTATTGCTGAGGCAGGGGATAGTGTTTGCTTTCCTCAGGTAGTCCTTAGTCCGTCGTTGGGAGGATCATTGATTCTCGACAGATTACCTAACCACCTCTTCAACAATATGCAGTATCAGCTGTTCTTTGGTTCTCTTTCATTTTTACTTTTCTACCTGTATTAAGGAAGGAAAGTATTGCAATCGGGTCAAATTTCCACCATCCGGTTTCGGCTGATCTATACGTTTCAGAGCTCCCTGAGTCCGAAAAACACATTTTTAGCCATGTGCCACAAATCTCTCTGTCTGTGTCAAGATTTTCTCGGAAACTACTGAACCGCTTTTGTTGCTCTTAATTTCAGAGCTACCTTCGTTTGAAAAGTAATGAAGTTCCCTACAAAGCCATATAAAAAGGGGTATGAGAGAATAAAGATGACTGAGTGAAAGTAAGAAAATCTGTTGACCCCATCACGCAATCTTCACTATTCCCTCTCCTTTTAACAGAAATTATTGTTTGACAATACTAAGCTATTGCAACACTTTTTTTATCAGCAATATTAGAAAGCATTGGAATGTTTACACTGATCCACTGATAAGCCGGTTTACATGGCTTTAGTTCATCAAATAAATCGTACTCAAATCTTTTGTTTGATCAGTTTTCAGGAAAATTATGTCTAGTTCTATTCTTTTTTTTGTCTTCATGAACCTATGTAAAGGCATAAAAACTTTTTTTTTTTTTTTTGTTTCAATTTTTTTAGGCCTTGATGCCCGATATTTTCAAGACCCCATAAGCTTAGTAACTTCGCGTATATGGTTCTCGCAGAGTGGGGTGAGCCTGTAGTTTCCTTGGGTATCTGCGCTGATTAATTCATTTGTTCCTAGGTATGAAAGTGTTTAAGAAAATATTTATTAGTTTATTTTTTTAAATTATTTATATTCATTACTCGACTAAGCGAATCAAAACGAGGGTTTGGGACGTTCGCTAAAAGCTACTCACACTCAATTCATTTGATGGGTGTTTTGAAACATCCCTTGAGTGTTTTGAAATAATTTGAGCTAAAAATGCTGACCCGTTATTAAATAAGCTGTGTTTAATCAATTTGAAAAAAAGCTTTGTAACGCTGTTTTGAGCGAACGGCTATATTGATTTTTAAGTTTGATATATTACATTACGTTGGAGTGAATCATAAAATTCTTAAATACGCAGATGATATAGCTGTCCTTGAAAGTAATGAAGAAGACATTGAGAAACTCGCTACAACAGTGATAGGAGAGGCAGAGCAGATCGACCTACAAATAAATGAAGACAAAATAAAATATATTACAATAAGTCGAAAATTTCATCCCAATAACAGGATCTGCGTAGAAGGAAAATCATTCCCGAGAGTAGAAAAATTGTAATACCTCCAAAAAAAACTTCAATGAATGACCAACGGACAGAAATAAAGCAGCGTAGTATAACTAGTGCAAACAGAGCTTTCTTCTCCTTCTAAAATTTATTAAAATCCCGAAAAATCTCAAATTAAGGGTGTACAATGCTATGATAAAGTCAATTCTAATATATGGGAGTGAGACCTGGACAGGGATCAGAGTACTGACACATAGAGAAGAAAGACATGTGAAGAACTACTTATAGAAACTGGTCTATCAATATCCCAAGATATGAAGGCACAGAGGTTAAGATGAGTGGGGCATGTCGCTCTTAGCAATCCATCTGGAAGTCGCTACGTAACAATGAATGCCTCAATAGAAGGCAAAAGACCACACGGAAGGCCAAAAAACAGATGAATAGATAGAAATAACAAAGATGCAACAGAGCTGTGTGCAAATAAATGGAAAGAAATAGCCCAAGGCAGGCAGAGATGGAGCAACCTTAAGCGATGGAGCAAGTGAAGGTGGCAAATGATCTGCATGGTCTGTAATGTCAACAGAAAAAAAAAATTACATTCTTCGGTGAGGTCCCGTGGGTACTTATAAAGCGAAATGGCACGAGGGTGATGTGTTCGGGGTGTCTGTTAAAAGGTGTGTAAAGATGTTTTGAGCGAACGAATGGATCGATTTTTAAGTTTAAAGGCTCAAATTGTTTGGTGAGATTCCATGTATGTTTTGAAACAATTTTCAGTTCAAAGAATTATTATTATTATTTTAAGTACTGTGAAATATTTAAGCCTGGCAACATATTGAAGATAGTTCAGTAATGTTAAACAAATATCCTATTGTTATTTTTTTTTTCATATACTAGGCTTTATTTTGAGGATAAGTGGATATTTCAATTTTTTATAGTATTGTTGCTTGTCAAAAACTACCATAGTAGAAATCGAACCTAATAATTTTAAATCAGGACATTACAAAATATACTCTTTTTTTATATAGGGAATTTCAGACTTAGCTCCACTGAAGAAGAAATGCAGGTGGCTGACTATGTCACAAAAAATAAATAAACTAAAAAAAAAGAAAAAATATTGAAGATAGTTAAGACATGAAAATTTAAAAATTATCGAAAATATGTTGAAGCCCATTTTCGCCGCATCTGTATATGTCTTTTTGATTTTCAGAATGGGGTAATAATAAACAAAATATAAATTTGGGCATAACTTATTTGCCTCCCTTGTTGGGAACTATTGGGTCAGAATGCTTTCTACTCTTTTTGCTGAACACGCTCTAGTTTGAAAGGCATCTGTTAGCTGTCGAACTTATCTTTGATCTATCGTTCCGCCTCATTGTTTTCATGTCCAGGCATTCTCATCTGTTTTTTTTTTAAAGTTATTTTTCGATAATAGATATTGGACATGAATGTACCTGAAGTATGTTTTAAATCCGTGGAATATTATGAGATAATAAAGAAATAAAAAAAAAACAGAATAAATAGGAAATGGAAAAAATGATTCGTATTTGAGTTAGTGTGAAAGACTAATAATAAGATATATTTTAATTTATGTTATACTAGTTTACCTCAGCAAGAACTCTTATTTTAGGTAGTTATTATTCTCCCTTACGCTTTGGGTTGTAGTTCTATCACTTACTAAGCCAATAGAAATCTATTATTCTGTGTTTTGAAGCTATTACATATATATATTTTTAAATTATATCAAGTAAGTATCATTCCATATTATTACACCAAAAACCCTCCCTACATCTTAGCAATACTTACTCTACGTTCCTCTATCCACTCTTAATACCAGATCTCAACCTATAGATTTATAGATCTCTTCCCGTAAAAACACTTCCTTCAGCAAATCCTTCGTCATTCGTGCTACCACTTTTTGAAACTTTTCCTATGCTAATCCTGGTCCACTAATTCCTTCAAAGATCTCTTATTTCACCACTTACTACACATTTAAACTTCCGGCTCAATGAAATATATACTGGATTCTGTACACAGTTAACTAGGTATCATTTTGTATACCATAAGTCAGACTAATGTGCATAATTATGTAACTTTGTTATTATTCTCGGGGCACTGTAATTCCAGAATATAATTATTTTTGCATTCATTCAATGTTCCATGTTCATTCATTCATTCATTCATTATTCAAAGGATAAAAGAGCGTGAACACAATGTAATGTTCCCTTGGTTTGTTGTTAATTAATAATAATTCTAATCTAAATATATATTACACTTACATTGTCCGAACAGGCTTAATAATCCTGCCAATTAAACTCCAACTCTACCCTTCATTGTCTGAAAGGTTAAATCAGTTTGCAATTGAGTGGATAAAAACACGTTAATAATAAAATTTAAACATTTATCATTTTTATTAAAAATTTTTTTGTTCCCAGACTTTTTCACACCACTGTTTATACTTCGTTATTTGTCTTATTTGTCTATTTGTTAAAATAGAAGTTTAGATCTTGTACTAGACAAAGGGGAAATGAAAGTAAAAATTATAGACGCTATATTTATTAAAATTTCATTATGGGTATGTTGATTTGTTTAATGCCCTTATATAGTCAAATTTCAATTTTTATATCGCTATATTCTATATAAAATTAAATATTAAATAATACCACCGATAGCATTTATGAAAAACGGATATGTCTATAAACATAATATTATCCGAGTCCGTATTGTATGAAGCTCAAGGCACTTAACAGAAAACTAATATTGAAAATTGACCATTTAAGCCCTGTTAGACAACATCTATGAGAAAAAACCTGCATTTAATTAAAAACTGCTTAGAAATACACTTATATACTGACAACTTATACTCATAGTATAATAAGCTTCCTTGTTGATTTAAAGGTTCCAGTTCTCGATGTGTGTGGACATAGCTAAGGAAGTTTTTGTCTGATGCCGCCGTAATTATTATTGTTATAAACTCCTCCGTTGGACATTTAGAATATCTAGTGCCTCCTCTTTCCATCCATCATGCTGATATAATTCCATTTGAAAAAAAACCTTTTTACTTTCACTTACCTATATAATAAGGGTAAGTATTGCGATTTCCGAATCTGAGTTTTCAGCAGAAATACACGTTTTGAGGTCCACCGAGTCCAAATAACCAAGTCCCATAAATTGGTCTCTGTGTGTGTGTATGTATATTAACAGCCTAGCTCAAAAGCGAAAAGCCGTGCGAAACCGAAATTGAGCATTTGAGGTTTTTTATAAAAACCTTTTATAAAAACCAAGGATTATATCCTTAGAAATGATGAAAGGATGATACGGCAACATTTTGGTCAAAATTGACAAAGGAATGAAATACGCTGATTTCTTGACCACTATAGAACAACAATGATTTTTTTTTTTTTGGAGAACTTTGTTCATACAGTTGTAAGTAGAGGGTATTGTCCTTCAACGTAGCAAGAACTGGAACCTTTATATCAACAAGGAAGCTTATTATTTATACTTAAAGTGCAATGTGTCTATCACTCCCTGTCCATAACTGGTGCGTTCACTCTACTGTATTTTTTATTTATTTTAATTTTATTTCACGCCCTCTCGAATCACGTGATCCAGTCGGATATACCTCACGTGACTCAGATCTTGAGTTAATCCTTTTAGAGGAAGGTGAAGCCATTAGAAAGGAAAGATTGATAAAAAGGAGGGAATCAATGAAATTGGTATGCGAGTGAATGGAAAAGCTTTTATCGGCGATAACCGCCCTCTGCTGTCCCATTGGCTCCAATAAGCTCCAATAGGATTAGCGCAAAAAACCAATGCATGTACCCCCGACCGCTAAGTTATTAACTGAACAAGTCCCCTGCATCGCTGGCGGTCAGCAGCTTTCCCCCGTGTCTCTTAAAACAACCAGAGAGGTCGTATATTGAACCATCGGTTATATTGATGTCATATGAAAACAAGGTAGAAGGGTAGTAAATGGATAAATGCCATCGCAAATATGGAAGAATAACCGATCAAAAAATAAAATTCATAAAATAGACTCTCTTGAAAATCTGGATTAAAAAAAGTAATTGATATTCACCTGTTTTTCGCTTTATTTATTTATGTATCATATTCTTAATTACATCATTATTGTTTTTAGATTACTTGATTATTGTTAAATATTAAAATCTGTCTCAATTAAGGACACTTATAAAAGAGTTCAGAGAGCACATTCACACCATATTTACAGAATAAAAAAAAAAAAAATTATTATTGAAATATACAACTGTATTAAACGATAAATACAACAAGTATATATGGAATAAGTAACATGAAATGTACTACATGAAAAGAAACTACCCAATGGTAGCACTCCAATTATATTTCTATATTAGAAGGTCCCGAGACCATCTTTTTTTCAGACGCCTCGGAGGGTTATCAGGAATAGAAGAGGAAGCAAGCTTGGAAACGAGAGGATTCGGATGGTTCAGAAGGTTATTATGGAAGGATAGGTATTTGGATTGAGCTAAATCCGAAACATATGGTACATTAAGGTCGTTACAGATGATTTTATTTGTGACAAAGTAGGGAGCATTGAGGTTTTTACGAAGGATTTTGGATTGTAAGGATTCCAGAGGAATTTGATGGTTCAGTAGAGCCCCTTTTAGTCTTTTGTCAATAGTTGGAAGTTTAGAGCGTTTGTCTAGCAAGTGCTGCAGTAGTTGAAAACGTCGGGAGGTTTCTAGTCGTTTTAGTCTGGTATTAGGATTCCATGTGAGTTGTTTGTTGAAATGGAGTCCTAGGTATCGGATTTATTCAACAGGGATAAGTGGGGTGAAATAAAGTAATTACAAAATAATATACATCGAAATAAAACATCGATAAAACTCATTATTAAGAATCTGCGTATCACAATTTTTATTTACCGCCCTACTTTCAGTATAAATAAATATTTCTTTATATGAATTATTGAAGATATTTATTCGACTTTTCTGGTTATAATGGGTGATAAATAGTCAGGACGCAGTTAGTTTTTAATATTTTTATTGCTGCTAATGTTTCAACCCAAGCTTGTGGGTCATCATCAAGGTATATTACCAGCTCAGCAGAAAGTATTTAAGTACTGGATGTTTATACTTATTACTATTATTTATTGTAGTTATTGGAGAACAAACTTACGCTACCTACATACAGAAAATTTCAATTTTAAAACTATATTACTGTGGTTAAAGTTCACTAGCGGTAGTTGTAATATAGATTACAAAATGGAGTAAATTGTCTAATTTTCTTATTCTAACAATTGCCTAAATTGTCTCTTCTCCCACATCATATTGATACTTCTACTATAGGTGAAAATGTTCCAGGTCATCGATCATTTATTCTGACTTCTACCATAGTCAGTATTTTAATTAATTTTAATTTTTTTAATTTTTTTTTCAATTTTAATTAAGCTAACAGATATTTTAATGCAGTAATAATAATAATAATAATACTTTATTTATTCTGGTACGAGTCCCTTTAGAATAATACAGGAAGACAGAAATGAGGGCTAAGGAGCCTCAGCGATATATAAATAAAAATACAGAGTAATTGAACAGTCTTGGTTAAAAAAAATAATATATATATATATATACATATACATATAAGTTGCTTTCCAATTTTGATCAGTTGATAATAAAAGAAAAAAAAAAAGAAAAAAAAATAGATAAACAAAAGTTGGAGTACAAATAATGAAGAACGAACTAATAACTTATGTACATATTTTCAGTAGTATCTATTTACGATTTTATGGGGACTGGATGGATAAGAAATGATTGAACAGGCGGGATTTAAAGGTAGGAAGGGTATTAGATTGACGGATATGGGAAGGGATGGAGTTCCATAGAGATGAGGATCGGATAATGAACGATTTGTCGAAAGCAGCGGTTCGGTGGGCCCTTATGTATAAATCAGAAGACCGGGAACGAGTATTGCGGGAACGAACAGAGGATTTGAATTGAAGGAGCTCGGAGATGTATGAGGGACGGTGGGATTGGATGACTTGAAAGAGGAAGGATGCCAGGAAATACTTACGACGGTAGGAAGGATAAAGCCACTTTAACTCTGCCGTAAAAATGGGAAACAGAGGCGTCCCTTGGGATCCCGAAGATGAATCGTACAAAACAATTTATCAAACGTTTTAGTTTCGCCTCGAGATCCCCAGAGAGGCCCCCATATACCGTACAGCAATAGTCAAAGTGGAGAAAAATTAAGGAAGTGACTAGGAGCCTACGGGTTTCAAAAGGAAATAGGTGACGGGAGTATTTAAGACGTTTTAGGATGGAAATGGTACGGCGGGAAATATTGGATATATGATTTTTATTTTATAGTATGTTTTATTTTATAGTATGTTACTATTAATAATATTATTTATCAGGTTCCTTTTACGTTCAGATCAAATGGTTAAATCATCAAAAGTTTTCTAAAATTACGTACAATTACAACATTATTTTCAAAAAGTACGCCACAGACAATAACACTATAACGGACCCGTAAATCGCCAAATTCGAAAAGTTTAAATAAGGCAAAAAAATATCGATTAGTAAAAGAGTAATTTTAAAATCGCAAGTGTTTTAACACTAAGTACGCCACAGATAACATAATAACTGACCTATTAATCAAAGAAATTCGAAAAGCTTAAATTAGTAGAAAAAATAAAGATTAATAAAAGCGTAACCTCAAAATCAACAGTATTTTCAAAACAGAATGTACGTTACCGATAACGCAAAAGCAGACGCGTAAATCGGATAAATCAAATAAGGTGAAATTAGCCAAAAAAGGATCGATTAATAAGGAAGTAAGCTTAAAATCTACACTGATAACACAATAACAGATCCCTAAATCGAAGAAATTAAAAAAAAAATCAAACAGATCTTTAATCTAGAAAATATTCCTTACCCATAAGAACCAGCTCTATGAAAACTTCTGCTCATTTTGTAATAAAAATCATTCTTTATATTGCAATTCGGTTTATGAATGATACGTGTAAAGTTGATACAAGACGTTATTAATATATAAAACATTATTAAGAAAGTTCTCAAATCAACTCTTGTATAAATAAAAAACGAAGAACGAATAGCTTGACAGAACTAGAAATAAAAACTGTCAGTAGTAAAATGCCAGGCGGTGACCTAAATACTAGTTCATAGAAACGGAGATTTAAAGGGACCCATTTAGTCGTTTTAATTCTTTATCAGGCCCCCTTTTGTGAGTTATATAAAGCATCTGTGATTCTATTATGGCCTTAAAAATTTACTAGGTTTTCTTAATCAGCGAGTTAGTTAATTATTCAACACGGGCTAAGTCCATGGTACAGCCTGTGTAGGTGGCAAGGGGACCAGAGATATCCTACGTTTCTGCCCTTCCTGTAGTTTGAGGAGCCCCATGGTTCATTTACCTCAAACCCTAACATGATATGTTAGCATTGATCCAAGATTTGAAGCTTTAAACCATAGAATAAATGCTCCATCACACTTTTCTCGCTTAGCACACTTATTAAAATGAAGCCACCTCGTCTTTTTTTCTTACATTTTTATATTTTATTTTTACACGGTTTCTTTGATAGTGAATGATTAATTTCAATAGGTCTGCTTTATAACTGGATGGTAACAACTCTAGTAGTTTTTTTTTTTTTTTTTTTATTAATCATTTCTCCCTCCCCCACTTATTTAGCCTCTCCTATCATTGTTGCAAGAGACTGATTCCATTCATAATTCTTCATTCATTTAATTAATCACTTGTACCTCATTTGAAATTATTATTTTTTCTTATTCTCTCGTGTTTGTTTTTTTTTTACTTTTTACATAATATGCATTTGCTAAATATTTTATTTGATGGAATTTTAACTTTTTAAAAATATTTTGGAACGTTTGGTATTTTTTTTTTTTGTCTCTTTTAATCTTGTTTAGTTTTTATCATTGGATGGCTACTTTTATATCATGTATTTTACTCAATTTGGTTTTATTGTATTTATACTCGTATAGAATATCTAAAGCGAATCAAGTATATCACCAGATCGCTAGCAGTATCCTCAGCTGCCGTGAAGTGGATAATAATACCAAGATGCACGTCTATAAGTCTGTATACCTTCCTATTCTCACCTACGGCGGAGAAAGTTGGACTATGTTGGACAAAATTATAGTCGCATAACAGCTGCGGAAATGCGATTCCTACGTAGATCGGTGGGCAAAACTAGGAGGGATCGCATTAGAAATGAAACTATCAGAGAACACCTGGAAGTGCCTGAACTGAAAACTACCTTGGAGAACAGGCAATTAAAGTGGTTCGGACATGTCTGCCGCATGAACGAGGACATGGACCCTACAAAGATATTAGAGGCTCGACCCACAGGGAAGAGGCCACGAGAGCTCATATCAGGAGTTCATGGAGAGGATCGGAGGTAGAAGAGGCAAATCCTTCAACCAAATGAAGCGGTTAAGCAGAGACCGGGAAGAGTGGCTGCATTGGATAGAGGCTCCTCGATGCTAGAAATAGCATTGTGAGGAAGACAAAGAAGAAGTATTTATACTCCGTGGTGCAGGCCTCTTGTTAGCAAATTATTAACATCCGGCTGAAACTTGGTAATACTTCATATCATCGTAAGCTATAAATATTTTATTTACGAAAATTCTCGGTAACTGTTTATTCTATTAGAGACTAAAAACTCGCAAATGCCCATTTGATTTCAACTTGAATCGTAAGGTACCTTCCACAAGAAGTTGGCAAAAAGGTGGCCTTCAAAAATATTGAGCCGTT